AAACCTTGCCATGCAAACCCAACACACATACTTCGTATTCTTTAGAAAGTATGTATGTAGCATTTCTTTCATCATGTCCTGCAACAGGGAATACTGATGTTTATTATTCCATCTCATGCATGACAAAGGTTTTTTCTGGACTTGCTTTCTTACTACAGAAGAATCAAAAGTGCACAAATAGAAACAAATCCAACACACACTGACTCTTTATTCTGTTAGAGCAGGCTGATCTGCATGCATGTATAAAAATAATAATCAGTCATTAATAAACACTGAACATTTGCAACAAAGGTCTGGTTCCAAGGCCAACTCTGAGCATCTTCAGTGGATTAATTACTATGAGAACATGTATCTCAGCTGCAGAAAGGCTAAATGAAAGTTTTAATGTGCCGCAAGCCAGCTGCATCAATGTAACTTATTCCCTCTAGTCAAGCAACATCAATTTTAGAAGAAGCTATTATCCACACCCTTTCTTTTAGAGTTCTCTTTTTAATATTATAAATTGCTATTACAGAAGGATTGGAATTGGAAACATTGCTAATTAGTACCTTCCTTTTGAAGACTAAGATTTTAAATTACTCCTGATGTATTACTGAATCAGTTAGAAAAAAATCAGGTATTCTCATTCTAAAGCAGCACTGCCTTCTCTTCGCTTGGAAGGGGAAGGGATAAACTTCCCTTAGAAGTATCTCGCTGACCAGACCCTGCTCTGTAACGAATTTGGCACTGCATCTCTACAGAGATAAACGTGCAATACGAGCTCTCCAAAACACGTAACTCTTCTGCATCCCCAACCCCACGCAGCACAATGATATAGTTCAGCTGCCTCATGAGCCTCAATACCTTTAAAGAACAGCACGGGATTTTCTCTTTTTCTTAATTAATTAAAAGTACCATCTGATAGAATATGTAGCACACAATCCTAAATTAGGTTAGAGGATTAGTTTAGAGGATTTATCATGTGTAGTTTGCATGTATTCACAGAATGGAGAACAAAATTCTCATATTAAATGGGGTGTAATTTTTCAGGAGATCCATACTTAGTGTCAGAATCTGATGCCCAGTACATACTTAAACTGTCTCCTCTAATCCTTTGTAAATTCCCCTGCCAACATAACTAGATTTGTGCCACTGCTTCCACCAGCATCTTCAGTTGAGGGAATCCCAGGAGTCTTACCAGATCATTTTATACACTGCCAGTGTAACGGATTCATCAAACCATTGCAAGCCAGCACGAGTCAGAGCAGATCTCAGGACACCCAAAGTTATCTGAGGGATTTGGCCCTTTGCAGCATCGTTTGGACTTGATGAACTTAAAGGTCTTCTCCAGCCAAAAGACCTTTGTTCTATGATGAGTCTATGACTCGATCGTTTTAAAGCTCTAGTTAGTGGTACCCACCAAGTCCTGCAAATCACACCAGCCGCAAGTCAGTCGCTGCACAAATGAACAAGTCCCGCCGTGCTGACAAGGGAGAAGCAGATTTTCCATACACCTTTGACCATTTCTATCAAACTAACAAAGACATGGGAAATGCTAGTACACTGATTCTGTTTTGAATTTTACAAAATGTAATTTATTTAGACAACGTAGTTTTAATTTTTATAAGATAACGATAAATAAGCCAAAAATGGATAAAAGGAATTTTCCATATGCTTTTGTTTAATGACAGGTATTTTTAATATTACTTTTATAAAAGGACATGAAAATATGTAGGCACAAGCCTTTCTCAACAAAAAACTGCTTGTTTTATTTTTTCAACTCAGTTTAACTTTGGTTTCCAGAGGTAGTGACTCTAAAGTGAACTATGGCATGAAATGGGTAACAAAGATTTCCAGGACAGAAAATACAAAGTTTAACTTAGTGCAAATGATATAGCACCCTTCTGAAGTGGTCACAGGCATCCTGATCTGTCAGACAATTAGAAGGCATTGCTATTGGAAAAATTCTGCCTAAAAAACCCGCATTGAATCAATGCATCTGACTTCCAGGTTCTGCTAGAGTAACGTATTAACAACATGGGAGATTCTAACATGCAGGGCTCATGTAGGGCCATGAAATTTGTACTGTTTCAGTTGCCGGAAAAGACTTAGCCCAATATCAAGGTTTAACAGAGAAGATCAGTGAATGCAACTTGTTTGGAAGCTAACTGTTAAAAAGATTTAAGTAAAGAGCTGATACGCTTCTAGCATAGTTTCCAGAGTTGCTAATAAAGCCTTCAGCTGTTCTCCAGCAAAAAACCCCATGTTTGCAGATATTTCCTGAAGAAACTGTGGTAGCTTTTGAAAAGTTTCTAGCTCTCTACAATATCTATCTACTAACCAATCTGCAGAAAACGTATTTTTCATCTTACAGTTATCACGAGCCATTACTGGAAGTACATTTGAACAAGCTACCTCTCTGAGAGTTAGAGTAAAGGGTGAAGAAAGATTATAAACTGAACAAAAATTCAGTAGCATCTTATTAAATAAAATCAACCACAGTTCTCTCTGCTGACTGCTAAAATCTTTTTCTGTGTGTTCATAGAAGCTTTCAATGTTCTCATCTGGATGAACAACATTCAAAAGTTCTTGCTTCACTTGTACCGACTCAAGATAATCCAGTGGCAATTTTCCATTGGAGTCCCTCTGCTGTAGAAGGACTGGTCCTGCATGGAAAATATAAACATTACTAATAAGAGTACATTCAATTTGGCAGCTGAACAAGATTTTGGTTTGGTTTTTGCCGGAAGCTCAGAATCTGTTTCAATTCCTTTCTGTACAAAGTTATGTTGATGTAACTGATGAGTTACACGTTTGTAATACAATCTAGAGCATGTAGAGAGACCCTTTGTAACAGCTTCTCTATGATATTGTCTTAATTTTCTTCCCAGTTTTGCTAGGTTAAAAGTGAAGGATTATTATATAGAAAAGGAAAATAAATTCTAATGTTGCTTATTCTAAAATACACAGAGTATGTAAAAATGTAATGTTATTACTGTGGTAAAATTGCATTAAGTATTTTATAGACCAGGTTATCTGTCGACACCAACTCCAAATTAAAGGCATGTTACTATGATGGTCTTTATTTTACTTTTCTGGATGGCATGGTCAACCTTGTCCTAGGCTAGGCAGCACAGTAAACTATGGAGGTAGGAATCCTAAGTCTCCCCTAACAACTGAGTATCAAAACTTGGTCTTAACAGATTTCTGAAATGCAAATATTAATTACTCTAATAAATAGATTAGAAGTCAGTGAATGGGACATGTTTTACTTGTTCACATTATACTATGTTCCTTTGGTATTTCCTGTTTATTAGTACAATGGCGCTATTAATATTTAAATAGTTTACAAGTATCTTGATAAATCAGTTTATCAAAGATTGTATCAATAAGAAGAAATGACGGCAGTTAACACACTGTAGGTGGTGTTTTTCAAAGACGAACATGACAGGAATCTTCTTACGTAAATCTGGGCTACTGTGCTAAAGTAATGATGTAATTTTAACTTGAATACATTCTCAGAAACATATTTTAATTATAAAAAGTAATTTCCTACATTACATATCCTTACTAGAGGTTGTGATTAAAGCTGTATTGTTTTACTCCATCATAGATTATGCAATATAATTAAATTTTGCAAGCCTAAGGTGTTCAGAGAAAGAAAGCGAAAAAAGTTTTTGCAAAAGTGTGTTCTAAATTATTGAGCTGAGTAAATCCACCCTGAATGGGTAACACGCTTTCTACCATAGTCTTGTCAGCTATTTGACAGGCCAAAACCCAGAGTGTGACAAAGGCAAAGATAAGGGTACAAGCAGCCTTGTAGTTGCCAGAAAATCTTGATGAATGCAAGTGCAAGTAGAGCTCTTCCCCTAGGACAACAGGATCATCCACTACCTATTCTTCACAACAGCCTAGGAAAAATGCACATCTGTCAGTGCAATGCCATTTCCAATTGAGGAGCTGGGCTTACTACAATATTGGCTATTGCATCACTTAGACCGATTGAACTGAGCCCAGGAATTGGCTTGGCATGTCAGACACAGGGTTCGGTAGATATATAAAACACCTGGGAGCCACAGAACTGAAGCTCAGCAAACACAGAGGTAGAACTGCAGAGGAATGCATTGATTATGAGCCCGTGCCTGCACAACAGACACAGAAATAGCCTTTAGGGGGCAGGAGAAGACTGTAAATACAGAGGGTCTTAGGCCAAGAATGAAATAAAATGTTGTGTCTCTACCTTAATTAAGTAATAGGCCATCTAAACACAGTGCATTCTTCTGCCTCATGGCTATATGCAGAATGATTGTTATTGAAAAAATCTGGACTCAGCACATAATACACAGAGATTAAACTGACACGGTAGGTCAATGGTAAGGATATAGCAAATACTCATTTTAGCAAATGAATTAAAAGAAGGAAGAGTTGATATCAAAGACCGTTCTTTGCAGGTTTTTTTTTTTTAAAAGAAAAAAACCACTAAGTTAATTATATTTTGAGACAAGACACAAGTTCCCTGTCACTGAACAAAAAATATTGTTCAAAACATTTATCATGTGTTTGCCTAAGGGGCAATGTATCTTTTTTTAGAAACTAAGGCAACCCTCCCACTATTATCCCTAAACAGCAGTTATCACAATTACAATATAGATTCTTTCCTTAAACTAATTACCAAGCTAATTGTGTTCTTCAAAGACCATCACATTAATTTTCATAAATGCTGAACAAATGTATGTTGAAATACATGATTATATAGAGATTTACTGATCTATTTTTGCATCATGGTAAAAATAGATCAAAACAAAAGAAAATCCTTAGCTTTGCTTGGTGACTAGGTAATCTTTATCTTCATTAATGAGTTTGGAGACTATAGTTACAATGCATATGGTGTAAAATGCAGAATAAAAACATTACCATATTGGAAAAAAATGTGAAAATCCTGGTTAATTTCATATTCAGTTGATCAAGATAAGTGTGAAAACAGTATTATTTTTATTGTGACCAAAACAGCTTGGCTTAAAAATGTTTTAAAATAAATATTTCATAATAACATTGTATTTTAAGTAACTATTAAGAAAAACATCATGAACTTCACATGGACTCAGAACAGTGGATAATTTCCCTAAACCAGTTTAGCATAAATGCACTCACCCCCATGCTGAAGTAGCAGCTTGCCAATTTCTACATGTCCATTTGACAGTGCATCATGCAAAGGAGTCACCCCGTCCACTTGACTGAGCAGGTCTACCTCTGGACAGCGTTGCAAAATTTCGCGGACACACACTGTGCTGCCATGGTTACAGGCTTCATGCAAAGGCGTCCAGCCAGCATAGTCTGAATTATAAATCAAGGGAAGTTTTAAAACAGCAGAAGTAGTACTGAAATGTTAATAATGTAATTCATTAGACAGCAAAACACTTGACTTTTTGGTATTCATCATGGCCACAGTGGCAGCTTGTGATTTCAAAACAAGAAATTCTACTGAAAAACATCTGAAAAAAATTAAACAGCATTTTTAAAAATCATTAGAAAATGCAATGTTAAAAGACACCGCGGTTGTAAATTAGCCTTTCCTCAATTTTTGCTGAAGTCCTCATTTTCAGTTGTTTAAAATAATAAAGACAGTTTAGTAGTATAAATTCAAACTTTACTACCAAACAGATATTAATACAGTTCTTTATCTGGCTTAATTTCTTAGTTCTGTAGAGAAAATGAATAACTTACCTTTAGCATTAATGTCTGTTCCAGGGGAAGAGAGAAGCTGAATCAATCTCTCCACTTTGTTACTTATGCAAGCTCTATGCAGGGCTGTCTCTCCTACCATAAAAAATTAATAGATTACACTAGACTAGGCAAGATAGCGACTAAAGAAAATAATCAAAGTGCCTGGAACTAGGAGACCTGGCTATATGCCAGAAAATTCAATAATGAGTAAGATTTTCCTTTATCCTGGTTAACCATCTTTTAAGAAAATTCAAAAAAAACCCACAGAGCTTCTGCTCCACCAGAGATCCAGCAATGAAATTGTATTGCAAACGGTTTAACACAGGAATTATCTCCCCCCAGTTCAAGGTTTAAAGCTTCAAATCAGACTATAAAAGCACCAAGTGATCACAGAACACCAAAAATACTGGGTTTTGAAGCAATAAAACTTTAGAGTGCAGTTGCCCTCCCTTAAATTTATTCATGAACCTACGTTAAAATGTATGGTTCTTTTTACACAGCATTTATAGCTTAATTCAAATGAATGTTTCTGGCTAAGCACGAGTGCCTCTACACACTCAAGTATAATTCAGAACTTCAAATCCGTTAACAGATGGTTTGCTGTTTCTCAATAGGCTGTCTGACTTGGCTACAGTAGCAAAGGAGGGAGGAAAGAGAGAGAAATAAATGAAGGGGTCCCAATAATAATAATAATAAAAAGAAAATCCTCCAGAAAAAAAAAAAATCCCAAGCCTTAGTACCATGTAAAGCCGAAGTAACTGTGAAAAATTGAACAGCAAGCTACAGAGAACTGCTGCTTGTAAGTAAAGACACCATTAGTTTCTGCATGATGAAAACTTGAGACCCGTTCTAAACGCTGTTTTGCTTTCACTAAATGATGAGGTTTGAACATAAGCCAGAGGAAAATCTTGATACCAGGTGAAAGATGATGCAACAAACATCTTAGAAATGAAAAATATCTCTGCCTAAATCTCTCAGCCTTTGCGATAAGATTTACATGGTATATTTTGTTATATTAATACCTTCGCTATGTAAATCTGTCAGCTCCATACTCATTCTTTCAACTGAAGATACTACTTACAATTTGGCAGGGGAAGAATACAAAAAAAGCAGGTTTGGTGGGGTTTTTTTCCCCCTAGTCCTTCAGCTCACTTTTCTTTGTAGAAGTCAGCATGTAATAATTCACATCAATTTTACTTGCAAAAGCAATAAAGAGAAAGGGAACCAATTTTAAAAATGCATGGTCTGGCTCTGTTACTGAAGCTCTCTTAAATCCCAAAAGAGGGTGAGGGGTTTTTTGTCCTTCAGTGTTTGTGATACAATTCTGGTTTTAATTTTTTTGAACAATCCCAGTTTGCTTTTTCTAAGCCTTCTCTTAGGTGTCATGATTAATATAGTTGTGTTTTAAGTGATATAGGTAAATTTCTGATGATGAAGATGACAAAAAGTAGTTCCAGTAAGTAATTCTGTTAGGTAAAGTACAATTTATTAAATTTGTGTAATAAATAGGGACCGAATGAATTACTGCAGTGCTGTTTTATTCCTTAGGTACTTGGGTTCCAGTATAGCTAAGACAAAAGCCAAATGCCTTTCATAGTCTGGGCTGAATGCCTGGAAGAAAACAGTCCATATGCTTAACACAGCTATGTAACATAGCATACTCCTCAGTCTTTGTTCACAAAATGTCTAGGACTGAAAGAGATGAAGACTGAATTATACTTTCAAATCAGAAGACGTTGATCCTACCAAGCACAGGTTGAGGTGGATTAGCAAAGTAAGGCGGGCAAGACTGGAATGAGCTCACACAAGCTGTACACTGTATTTAATATCTGGGAGGGGGAGGGGAGTGAAGAAGGCAGCTTTATTCCACCATATATACAATTACTCCTTTTAAACAGATATCAGAAGAAACAAACACAAACCATAAGAAAATAATTCTTGGGCATAAGCCATCATTTTAGTTTACCATTCATCAGGACAAGATTTTTAAACCTGAAACTGTCGATTCTAGCCATATAAAGTTCTTGACATAAATTAGATATATAGAATACCTTTAGTATTTCTCCTGTAAAAATGTACCTCTTCAGCCAAAAGGTAGCAATTCTCTTTGGTGTATGACGCCTCAACTTCTGCTTTTGCTCTACGCTTCTTTGTCAATGGAGGGCGCTTACTAAAGATTAAGTCACTGAAAAGAGAGCAAAGGGGACATGTCTAGTATCACTATTTCATATTTTAAGATAATGTGTATGTACTTAATGCTTTTAAATGTGTATATAGAGCATACTTAGATCTATCCATTTCACAGTTATTTCTGAAATATCTTAATGACATAATTTTTATATCATTTAATTATAACTGTATTTAAAACAGTAATAAAATTAGATTACCCACAATTAAACTTTCTTTAAAGGTAATGCTATAAATAGTTCAACTTCTCTATATACCCTTTAAATTTAATATTGGGAAAATATAACTACATCAGTTTGCATATACATTGAGATGGAGGATAGGGAGAAAGGGGGAACCCCAGCCCAGAGGTGTTACAGGTTTACAATGGAGCTTTCTGTCAGTTGCAGTAATTTGTGGACAACAAAACAGGTCATATAAAGTTCAAGAAATGTGTCAGGTCAGAAGCTGTCCCCCAAAGCAGAATAAAACTGGTGATGTTATAGGTATTACTTACGGTAGATCAGGCAGCACTTTGACTTGGTTCTGCTTATCGCCATTTAGCATCTGTAATGCCCTTTGAGACTCAGGGCATGGCCGTTGCCCTATTTTCTTTTTCTTTGCTTTGCTTATCTTTCTTGTCTCATGCATCCCTACCTCTTGCAAAGCAGGCAAATAGGAACAGACCTGTTGCAAGAGTAGCATTTTCAATGACTTTGTATACAGTAAATTAAAATGGAGTAATTTTCTTTTTAAGCATGTCATGCAAAACAGTTCATCCACCACCCACAGCTTGCTGTACATAAGTTTTTTCTAAAATATGATCATTAAATGATTGCATATATAGATTGTTTAAAGTTGTCTTCTGCAATCTTTTTTATATTATTGTAATTTGCTCTTTATGCTGGCCTCAGAGGTGAGTGGGTTCCATCCGAGCCAGAACGTGGGAAATTCCAGACCTCTCTCTGGTGTTTTTTTGGTAGCTGAGAAAATTTTGATCACTTTAGCTGGACCTAAGACTGAAGCAAAGTGAAGTGATTCTCAGGTACTTAATGAAAGTATTTACAAGCTTTCTGCTACCAACCCAGGGAGCAATTTGGTAAAGAAATACTCTCCTCCTTCATCTCTTCTAAGATGAGGGCTTGGATGAAGCCTTTGAGCACTGCAAAGGTAATAAGCTAGTTATCTCTTAGGTGCAATCTTATTAGGGTAGCTTTGGAAGTTGTAGATATTTTGGCTTCTTTCCAGCAATACAGAGCTTCCAACTCACCCATACCCCTCATTTTAACAAGTCACGTAAGATTCTGCAATTTGGCAAAAGCATAGGAAAACTTCCAGTGGGGGTTCATTTAAGGATTACACAATGGTTGTGTCTGAAGGAAGATATTAAGGTTCTGAGTATCTAGCGGATCCCTGCAGATTCTGCAGGCAATTTGCAATGGGTGAGGTACACCTTACCTGCCCCCTCACTGTACATTTACCACCAGAGAGGAGGAGGGCACTAGTTGAACCCATAGAAAATCCTAGCTGGTAAAATGCTGTATGAGCAGAGTCAGCAAAATTGGACAATAGTTAGTATTTATTGTATGGAACAAGAACAGAAGAACAGAAATGCTAAGAAGAGCCACAAAAAACACATGAACTTGTTTCAAGCACTACAAAAATTTACATTTAAGTAGCTGCGGAGAGTGATCAGTAGTCATGGCAATACTAAAAATAGCAATTACTGCTGTGTATGTGTTGGTAACATACGTTAAATATTAGATATGTAGTTGCTTTATTTTTAAAATTCTGACAGTCTTTTGTTTGAGCTCTGTTTAAACACTATGTTTATTAATAAACAATGATCTCTGTTCACAATAGACTCATGTAAAATTCAGGAAAACTTATGTATGGAAAAAGTATACAGGTGTAAATTTGTTTTTCTTTGACTCTACCTGTATAATTTTAGGCCATATAGAAACAGTTATGGATTCCATATTCTGTCTAGCCATTAGTATTAACATTACTGAAATGAGGCTCTAAGTTAGGACATGTCATTACTGTGTGATCTCCCCAATTTGCTTGCATCCTGCCAGTAGTCATGGTTTTGAGAACTTCCCTCACAGCTTTCATCGTGGATTTCCTCATCAACTATCACAATTTGTGATTTGAAGGCAGGAAAAGGTTGGCAAGTAGGAAGAAGTTTTTAAGAGAAGAAATTCACAGGAATATACTGTTATTCAAAATCATAAAATCTTGCATGTAACAAATGCTTGGACCTAGTAGAATACTGTCACCTCTTCAAAAAATGTGAAGGAAAAGATATTCAAGGAAAATCACACTACATTTGGCATTTTCCTTAATTACAAATTTAACATTGCAATAAAGTATTTACATCAGAGATAATTTTAATAAGCTTTCATTGTAACTTTTCATGTTAACTACATGTAAACAGATTAATCAAGTGTTACAAATTCTCTGGCAGGAAAATTCTTATCATTGTTTTGAACCCAGATCTTGGGCAAAAAGAAATTAAATGCTGTAGAGTCTGTCTACAGGTGGAAGACAATGCATGCAATAAGCATGACCTTAGATCATAAAAGAAAGGTATTCCAAGACTTTCATGAATCCAATTACTTGTAAAATACTTAAGTGTGATAGGTTATTACAGAGTAGAAGAGTTACTTACTATTTTCTGAAGAGAAAGAGGTTCTGTAGAAACAGTTATGCTCCTCTTTAAACACATGTTTTTAAAAACTGCTTCTGCGACAAACATTTGAAGCCAGAGGGATGGTATGGAACAAATGAACATTTTTAATTCACATATTGAAAAATCTGGATAAAAGCAAAGGGGAAAAAAAAAAAGAGCCTTAAAAATGAGAATATACAAACCTGTACATCTAGAGTTACCTAGAAGACAGCACTTCCAGACCTTTTTTTCCCTGCTGTTGCAGATTCATAAGTCATTCTCCATGCAAATTACTAAAAATAATAATATTGAAAAAGATTTTTTCCATCACCTGATAATAAGATCAGCTTCTAAGAGAATAGTCACCAGATTTTAAAAGGCAAAGCACCACTTTTTATGTGAAACTTTAAAAAAAAATGCTCTAAATACACTCTTATAAAAGTTATACCTTGATTTTGAAAATTATTTTTTTTTATTTGGGAAGTGATGCAAGTGATTAGCTTTAAAATCTGTAAGTGACACAATATAAACACAATTCAGATTTAACGTGTAACAGACGAACAAAGAAATCTGCAAGTAATGCAGGGTGACCTACATTAAAAATGACCTTAAGTAAATTTCAACCATTTGGTACATTCAGATGTACCAAACAGTTCATGCTGTTTTAAAAATCAAACACACAGTGGCAGAAAAATACATATCTATTTCTATGTCAACATGTATCAGGCATATGTCTGGCCTACCTCTCTTTTTTTTTTGGAATAGGAGACAGAATGACTGATTTTTCTTAAGGTGATATTTGTATTCCTATTCTGGCAAAATAATTTTGTCAAAATAGCAACTGAAACAGGTGGAAAGCAAGGCCTGCCATCAAGAGGAAAGTCTTTACTGTATTGAGTGCTCTGTTCTGCTGAGACTTGCTCATAATTAACTGATCTGTAGACTCAACCAAAACAGAAAAACAGTTTTGACAGTACAGACATTTTCTACTTAAGAGTGACACAATTTAGAAGAACTCTGCAACAGTTTCTTTGAGCTTTAAGTGCTGTGGACTGAATCAAGGGCAGACATCACCAATAGGTCAAAGAATCTTTACTCTTTGTAACCAGAGTGTGAATGCTGTTCTTGAGAATGTTCTCAACGAAGGAAAGCATAGAAATTATAATTTTCGATTTGTGTACAGGAAAGTATGAAAGTCTTACAGAAGTATATATCCACAATTCTCCCTATTGCATTAAAGGTAGAAAATCCTTTGGAGAGGTGGCGGTAGTAGTAGATACTAAAAGCTCCATTGATTTAAATACTATGAAGTACCAACTGATTTGGCCTTTTAAGGTCCAAGGCAGGATATAACAGTTCTGATAATTTGCCTTCTCTAAGACAGGAGTGGAACTATTCGTCTGGAGACTAAGATTTTAGTTTTTCAGGACAGTTCTCCTCAAGTGTCCCAAGTAGGAGAAGGCAGCAAGACTTTAAATGAAGACTATGTACACCTCTCTCTAGAAAAAATGATGACTGAAACCAGGATATCCATTCAGGTGTAAAGGTTGAACTACAGATTTCCAACTATTTCTTAAATGAGGGGTGGGGTGGTGGGGGAAGCTTTGGTGGGAATTAAGTTTGAAAGCAAAATTTAAAACATTCAGTAGTTTTCTTGAGATTATTCTTTTGGTCTTTTGAATTCCTCGTCCCCTCATTGCTACAAGGACAGATACCTCAACTGATATTCCATGTTAATGACAATGGGTCATTTGAGTCATGATATTTCTCTTTATCTAGTATATTCAATGAAGAGGGACAATAGTGACTCATGGGATGAGTTGGAATTTCCCCTACCCCCAAAATAAATTCCATGAAGTCTAAGGATTTGGAATGAGACACTGAAATGTTTCATCTGAAGTCTGTATGGGTCAAAGAGTTCAGTGTAGCTTTTGGACTTATGGCTGAAACGTCTTTAGCCAACAAGATCAAGCTTGTGGAGTGAAAAATTTCATCTGAGAATTGGCCTGAGCTAAGGTGCCTCCAATTGCCTCTCTGAAGTTATGACTTACTATGATATGCTTAAAGCTCTTCCTAAACTCACAAGAGAGCTCCAAACATTTTTTTTTTTTCCTTCACACTGTGTAGTCTTGCTTTTGCATTAACACCTATTGAGATTTATTTAGAGGGATTTCAGTAGGAAAGCCTGCCCTATTTGGTCTTTGCTTGGGACAGACAGACACACTAAACAGTTTCCTGCATACGTACATATCACACTGTAAGACTGCACAGCTGCAACAGAAGGTAAAATTTAACTTAAATCAAGGATTTTGGTTAGGACCTCAGTGTATCTGATTAAAAGACTTTGAGAGGCATTTCAAACACTCACCATCACATGAAATGGCGATGTACTGTGCCAAATCATCAGCTACTTGATGAAACACATTTTTGTCCATAAGCAGACTTGAGATGATCCAATATTCCACTACAGTTCCAAGAATTGCATTTAATAGACCAGCTATTTCATATCCAAAAGCCTAAATGGATTAAAAAAAAAAAGAGTATCCATAGACCTGTACTGTATAAGAAATTCAGACTGATAATGCACCAGCAATAACACTAGAGAACTTCTTTAAATAAAAGCCCACTGTGTTGCCACATCACTTCTTCACTGACTTTTCTTTTTCTACTCAAAAGCTAACTGTTGTAGCCAGGTCAACAAAATTAATATCCCATTGATATCACATCAATTAAGATTTAGCATTGGAGAAATATAAGTTATTTGAAAACACATTATCTAAACCAACATGCAAAATGGGATCAAAGCTTACAAGTACAAAGTGTGACTTTTTAAATTAGGTTTTGTTTAACTGTAAGATTTCAAGTACTGCATTTACGCTCGTTAACCTTGTCTTTCATTTGACAATTACAGGGTTCTCCCCGCTCTATTAGTGTTCTCTTTTCCTAAAGACTTTACCATAAAATTAAAGCTCCTTTTGTGACTAACCCTATCTATCTGTGCCAAAAGGGGAAAGGATGCAAGGTGTTACTTTCTTGCACAGAAAAAAACTTTGACAGCCAGCTTGTGGGATCAGTAAACTTTCTCCTGCTACCAAAAATGCCAAAGAGACTAGCAGCTGCAAATTTAGAAAGAACATAGTTATGGATATTGGCCTTACCTTTTTCACCCCTGAACCTACCCAAAATGGCCACATGTACATAAAAAAACCAAAGCATATTTTCTTCAGGAGGCATTAAGACAATACACAGCACTTTCATATGCTACCCATAAAGTACTGTGAGATACATGAATGTATTTGTTCACCCGTGTGAGGACTTCATCAGTATTGGTTGTGTAAAGCACTGCTTCTAGTGTCTGAGTTAGTCTGTGCAAAGGAAAGTCAGATTTGCCTACTCAACATCTTTCTGTGCCATTTAGAAATATTTCATGCAACAATTCTGAAATAAGTTATTCCTCTGACTACATGTACAACCCCAGAAAATTCAGTATTTGCGTGTCAGTTTTGAAAGCGCAAATTGGAAGAACACATGCACCATTCTAGGAATACATGAAGTTAATTTGCCCAAAGACATCTATCTAAGGTTCTACTGGAGAATCACTACTGTTACACTAAAGTACCAGCTGATACATTGCATTCTAGTGAGAGAATGAGTACTTCAAAATGGACAATTATGGGTAAGAGGGAAATTGAACTGAATACATATTTATTTGTCAGCTTGAAATTTTAAAGAATTACTTAAAGGAAGAAAAAGTTTACTGTCTTTTGTTGTGCTGTCATACCACAGTCAATGGTTTGTCTGATACTCCTTTGAGAACAACATACGTTCAAGGTTGGCTTAAAATAATTTAATAGCATTCCCTCAGGAGCCGGAAAGCACCAAAGACTGAAAGAGTTTGTGCTTCATCAATAAATCAAACAGACATATATAAGAGCAACAAAGACTGTGACACAGATGAGATTTATTATAGAAAGATTACAAAGTAATTTGTTGAAAACCTACACAAATACTGTCCCTACAGTTAACAGACTTACTTCTAATTCAAAAGAAATGGAATAAACACAACTACAAATAAACACTATGTGGGCAGGCAGTATAATCTCCATCAATGAAAGTTTTTAAGAATTGGGCAGGGAAAATCTGTTAGGAATGTGATCTCTGAGATTGCTTCTGGCCCTACTTCCTCTTACTCTGCTAAGCTCAACCTGACTTGCGTCGGCCCTTGCTTTACTGTATCATAGTTTTTTATTGTAGATGAACTGTGGGATCTCATAATAACAAAACCCCAAGAACACTGATATGGCATGTCAACAACATGAAAATAATTTTTTTCAACTAAAATTTAAATATTTTAAAAGCTACATTACTCACAATCTTCTGAGGATTCAGGAACAGAAACTGAAGAACTAATTTAAAACATCTGAAATGCATTTAAATTTCCCTTAAGTATGCATACCTCTTTTATCATTGGACCCCAAAGCAAAACACTGAGTGAATAATTTAGTTCCATCAATAGTTCTTTGCAGGAAATATATTACACAAATGCGGCAAATAAGCACAATTTTAACAGATGTAAGTGACAGGAACAAGGACATATAGATGTAATCTGAGGTAGATACAGATGTAAAGCAGAAGTATTTAAACTCTTTTTCTTGTTTCTAAATCAGAAGCCTGTATTACTTCATCTATGAAATATTTTCAAGGAAAGCAGAGAGGAACGAAAGCAGACCTTGAGGCACAGATCGAAATAATGACTATTAATACTGCAAGTATTAATAATGTTTCGCAGCCAGATATATAGCTGCATAGTAAATGTGGCTGACGCACCAGCTGCAACTACGTTTGCTCAGCTGAGTATCTGCACACTGACAAAAACAAACCAGATATTGCCAACGGGCATAGGCTAGGTTGACATTTTTGTAAAACAACAGTAGCACAAACCAAGAACTTCTTAGTATTTTGAAATAAGTGGTTCAATGCTACAAATGAGGGGGAAATACTCTAATTTACTGGAAGTATCATCTGTTCTAAAAATATTTAAATATTAACATCTTAAAATTTGCATTTTCGACCACAAAACAATACAAACATAGTAATGAAAACATATGCAATATTAAAAAGGTAAAAAAGCAAACATTTCAATTAAAAATGGGAATTGCTACCATGTATGACAAAACATCATTGTGCACATAAACAGCTGCTGCTACCAAATTCAAGAGGCTAAATCTTAAAAAGTGTCTTCTGCTTTACAACTCTACCGCTGGTTTAAAGCTGCACCTTTTCTGAAATTTAGATGATATTTTTAATTACCAAACTAACATAAAGAGAAAAATATCAACAAATTAAAAAAGGTTTCAGCAACAGTATTTTTAGAATAATAAAGTCTTACAAAGCTAAGTGATCTCTATTAATCAGTGAAAAAGTAAATGCACAGAAGCCATCCGATTTTTTTTTTTTAAACATAGAAAAGCAATATTCACAACATCATAAGAAAACTCTTATTCCTGGACATGAAGTAACATGCTACCCATATAAATGACATGAATTGCTGTTTTATTAACAAAGGCAATTTTGGACTAAGTAAAAACACATTTAAATAAGAGGGGTTTGTTTACACCGTCATTTAGATAATTGGGTGACTACTGGTCACTGGCACACGAGCCCTCAATTAACAGAAATTGAGAATACTCAGAAACCACTGGTTTTGGTTCTATCATTTCCTACTTCAATCTTTAATCAAACTTTAATCTGATTTAGTTTTAAGTTTCTTTATAAATTGGCAAACAAGAACATGATTTTTGTAGGTATATTATAAATTATTCAAGTCTCTCCCTCTTCCCCCCTAAATAATGTACTTTTAAAGTTCCTAAAAATAATGTACTACTACAAAACGTAGTATTTCAAATTGTGCTGAAAGGATTCTTAATAGACCTGCAGTATTATTCTTCCTTATAAACCCAAGTGTACCAGGTCTGCCTGGGATGGAGTTAATTTTCTTTGTAGCAGCCGGTGCTGTGTTTTGAGTTTGTGCCTTGAACAGTGCTGGTAACACAGGGATGTTTTAGCTACCGTTGAGCAGCACTTGCACAGCACCAAAGCCTTTTTTTTTCCCCTGCTCTGCCCCCTCAGCAAGTGGGCTGGGGGTTTGCAATAAGCCAGGAGGGGACACAGCCAGGAAAACTGATCCAAAATGACCAAAGGGATATTCCATGCCATATAAATGTTGTGCTCATTAATAAAAGCTGAGGAGAGGAGGAGGAAGGGAAGGTTTTGGCGTTTGCCTGGCCAAGTAACCGCTACACATGATGAAGCCCTGCTTTCCAGGAAGCGGCTGAACGTCTGCCTGCCAATGGGAAGTAATGAATGAATTCCTTGTTTTGCTTTGCTTACGTGTGCTGCTTTGCTTCACTTGTTAACTGTCTTTACCTCAACCCATGAGTTTTCTAATTTTTGTCCTTCTAATTCTCCCCCCAATCCCACTGCCGGGCGGGTGAGCGAGCAGCTGGATGGGGACCTACCTGCCAGCTGGGGTCAACCCACTACACCATGCACAGTACATTAAGTAAGATCCAGATAAACCTTTTTTCAGAACTCTCTTCCTTGTTCTTATTGTTGAGTATCAAAGCTGTCTCACCGAGAAAGGCATTGAAGTGGGAAGAGGCTGTTGACTGTATTCACATACAAAGGTCACATCAGTACAACTGATGTGTGCCAGCCTAGGAAATGCAATTCCTACATTGCTGTTCCATTTAATGCTTTGCCAAGTCAAGTGCAGTGCTACAGTGACAAAAGTTCCAGTACACATGCGTTTTAGTACGCATAGAAAAGTTCTTATAAGAAAGCTTTTAAGTCACAGGAAAATTCATTTTAACTTCTTTACTTTCAATTACAGAGTTATTTTAGAGTTGTTCTTTTTCATGTGGTGTAAATGTTTTCAGGGTTATGCAGTACTGCAAAAGTGCATAAACCATACTTCCAAGAAAGCTATTGGAAATGACAGACAGACCAGAAAGACATTTAGTCCTACAAATTTATATCAGGTAATGATACCTGAAACAGAAGAAAACAGATCAGAAATATGCAAGATGATGCAACTGAAAAATGGAATTAATGCCTTTTTCACTCCTTTGTCAGGCTATGTAAGACAGCTTTTTTTAAAAAAAACACCAGTCAGGGATGAAAAGCATTTCTGATATCATTTGTGACATTGTGAAAAGCCACACAATAGCTCAAAGCTACTCAAAGTGTTATAAGCAATATACATAGTCCTTTGTAAGTTCTAAAACTGAATTAAGAGCTTTGGTTCAAGGAAATTTGACCAGAAGTTTCTGCATCAAACCTATTTAAATAATAAATAATATATATTATTCAT